TATGTTTACGGTGTGCGTTAAATTAACTCTGCTAATCTGTTATACCTCTAATCTATCCGTCTCACATGGATGGATGTTTGTCAGATCGATCAGTCTGTTAGATATATTGCTAAATGTGTATCAGCGTGAAGCGCAAATTCGTAAAATGGCTTTTAAGGCGATGAACCGGTCGTTGACAAACGTCATCCTTGGAGGTTATGGCACTGTCAGTACGGCAGGTGGCAAGCCGAGGGAGATCACCGGTACACATACTGAAGTAACGGCTGACCAGGTGAATGTCACGTATCTGTGTGCATGAAGTATTGCTGTGGTCAACACTCAATTTAAGACCGTCGACTGGTTACTGAATGCCAAGAATGTGATCATTGTGCCCGGCTACGGTCTTTGCGCAGCACGAGCCCAGTATCCGATCGCAGAAATGGCGAGCTTACTACGAAAGCATGACGTTAATGTCAGATTTGGCATCCATCCGGTAGCCGGTAATCACTATTGCCCCTTATATGTTCTCTTATAGTTGCTAAATGATATTCAGCTGAATGTCCGGTGCGTGAAATTTTTTTCTTCGTTTAATTGATGGATCGATTAACAGTATAGCTCCGCGTGTAAAGGTTGAGCGCCTGTTAACTAGCAGCCGTTCTAACGAGAAGACAATTCAGCATTTTTCATTCGTTTTCTAGTACACAGCACTCACTAGTCACTGATCCTGATAGAGGCTATCTTGGGTGTAGTTCGTTAATTGTAATCAAACTCTCTATCGATTTAGCCGGTGTTCGTTCATGACCGAATATTTGCCTAGACCCTAATTTTAGCGTTTTTGCAGCTGCTAAGCGGTCGAGTCTCATGTCGTTCTGAATTCAAGGTTTTCTGCAAAAAAGTCAAATTTTTCTCAAGTTTATATTGACCTATGCAGCGACTGCCAAATTTCGCACTTCGCCGATTAATTTCTATAATTACTCATCACAGTTTCCATAATAAAATTCACCAGACTGCCAAAATGGATATGTAAGGTCACTGTAATAAGCCTTTGGGCATTAAGTGAAAATGAACTTTGCGATTACTGCTGCTAATGTCATTTTCAAGCTTTTCTCGATAAGATCTGCCAACCAATGAAGTGACAGCTTTAGGTAAAGTGTGACAAGTTATGGCGGTAAGTAATTCCGCGGGTAACTTTTCGAAAGCTTTAGCGCTTGACGTCACATTACAATCGTAGCAACGTTTTTTTGTAAACACTGTTCCTCCATAGGGCGAATGCCTGGTCAACTGAACGTGCTGCTTGCTGAAGCAGGAGTTCCTTACGATATCGTGCTGGAGATGGACGAAATCAATGACGATTTCCCTGACACGGATGTAGCGTTAGTTATCGGTGCTAACGATACGGTCAACTGCGCAGCCGAAGATGATCCGAACTCGATTATCGCCGGAATGCCAGTGTTGCGCGTCTGGAAAGCAAAACAGGTACGCAGACCATGTTTCATGCCAAACTGTGTCAGCTGATCGCTTGTTTAAGGTCGTGGTCATGAAGCGGACTCTAGGTGTCGGCTACGCGGCCGTGGACAATCCTCTTTTCTATAAACCAAACACAGGTATGTTGCTGGGCGACGCGAAGAAGATGTGCGATACTCTTCTCACTAAAATCAAAGAGAACGCACCAGCTGCAGTCGCTGCGTAATTTGCGTCCGTCGTATTGCCTCCGGCGTCATATCTGTAGACGGAGTTAGGGTGATTCGTGTAATGTGCTGCGCAACTTATTTCGCTTTGTGTGCGTCACTGTTGTATCACAATGTTATGAAAGTAAATCCAGAGAACAACTCAATTTACACACTGTTTTATGTTCCAAACAATTTTTCATATTTTTACACAGTGAATGCCCTGCCAACTATCGTAAGGCTGTCCAGCACGCGCCTAAATTCGCATCTCATCTGCCGTCGATCCATTGTCTCCGCCCTGCTACTTTTTTGACGTAGTTTTTCACGAAGCTCTGCAATCGTTTAAATTTATTATTAAAGTATATATTAAGGACAACCTAATCCTGCTTACGCAGTGCAGCCGATTCGATTTCGTTCATCTCGTTGATACACTCATCCTGTAGGGTAGCCGCCTCCTGAACTGACATATTTCCTTCGATATGATTGCTGTTGCCGGATCGCTCGTTTTTCAGTCTGTACAATATAAGAACTGTCAAATAAACTAATAGATTTACCGGTGTTCTAATCAGCTGACTGACCACGGTAGCTGGTGCGTCGATTGTC